ATTTTATATGTTATTTAAATAATTGACATTTTTTATTCATTTGTAACTAGTGATATTAAATACGTTTATTTATTTAATGACATATAAAAGTTATATAAAAAATTATACCAAAAATTTTATAAAAAAAATTATCTCTAAATTACCATCCATTTTTTAAATTAAGCATTTAACCTTAAATAAGGGAGTGAGAATATTTCCCTCCCATTTTTAAGCCACATGTTAGCTTAAGTGGGCCACACAGTGGCTTTCATGGCACCACACAATTAGAATTGGGAATTTTTGTCAATGTAGTTAACGGCGTTGCATGGGGGTAGATGAAAATGAAACAATTTTGAAAGTTAGTAGATGGGTTTGAAAGAAAACAATGATTCTAGACTAAAATGAAAAAAGAGTAATAGTCAATAGATGATTTCTTAAATTAAGCCGACTAATTGGGCTTGTTATCTTTATAATACAATTTTATTCATCAAAAAAAAAAAAAAATTGGGCTTGTTATCCAATTGGGTCACTTGGCCATGGGACAATCACCCCAAATACTATTATCTTGATGACACCCTTATGAGAGAAAAATAATAATAATAACAATAACAAGACAAATTGAAAAATATTGTCGAGACCGTCTCTCCAAGGAGACTGCCCCCATCATTGAGTCTCACTTGTCAGCTGAGACTGATAGGAGACCAGCATTGGAGGAGCTGGTCATTGCTCAAGTGATTGTGCTTAGTCCGTGCTTTATGAAATGTTGAAGACTTAAAAAGTTCAAATATTAGACATACTCATAAAGAAGTTCTAAAATGTTTATAAAAGGAAAAGAACACCGACATGGTTTTTTTTTTTTTTGGTATTAATCTTTCAATATTTTGAAATCACATTAAATCTTGACTAATTAAAAATCACATCACATCAAAATTTTGTAAGGAAAGAAATTCTCATAATGTTTGTTTCTCAATTTATAAAATTTAAAGTCGAAACATTACTTAAAAAGAATTGTGTTCCTTCTATTTGATTTAACAAATCATCGGTATCAACATAGTATTAATTATCTAGTTGTAAAGTCTCATAATTTTATATGAAATATCTATGATTAATTCTTAATATTAAATCATGAGATTGGGTGTTTATCTTATTATTATAAAATTTCAAATATGACTATTGCATGGTAAAGTGTGATTATAAAAATGAATTTAAATCATGGCAGCTTTGTAATTTACCATTAAAGCGGAAAAAGGAAAAGAAGAAAGGAAAATTTTGGAGTAAATTACCACACCATGAACCCAGAGGATATGGAGAGCTTGACAACTGGGAGAATTGATAAAAAAATAGGGGTTAGAGTAAATGAAATTTCTAAGAGGCAAATAATCAAATACTTGGTGTGCAACATAAAAGATGAAATTGAAGATGTTTATTCAACTGATTTGTGCCCATTTAAATAGAAAATGTAGAGCAATAGATTGCACAATACAAGGACACGATGACTACACGATTTGATAACAAGAAAGTACTCTTACTCTAAAAACAAGGAACTGTATCTCCACTAAGTAATAAACTTGGACTCTGTCAACTATTAAACTAAAACTACATATTATTTGGTAGACACGTAAACAATAAATTGACACATAAATAAAGAAATTGACACCTAAGCAAAGACCCATTTCAGCATTATATCATAACATGCTCCCCCTTAATGCTGAAATTTAAAACTCCAAGCAAATCCCTTAAATGGATAAATTTATCCAAAGGAAGTGGTTTCGTGAAGATGTCAGCAACTTGATCCTTTGAGTTGCAATGAACAACTTCCAAGCTTCCACTCGCCACCAACTCTCTTATGAAATGATGCCGAGTTTCAATATGACGAGTTCGACTATGGAATATTGGATTTTTTGTCATTGCAATGGTTGATTGATTGTCATAAAAAATTGTTGTTGGCTACACTTGTAATTGCTTCATATCCTCCAGAATTCTTCTTGTCCATGTGGCTTGACACGCTGCTGCTATTAAGAAGATATATTCTACTTTTGAAGATGACAAAGCTATAGAGGATTGCTTCTTTGAACTCCAAGAGATAGCACCGGACCCCAAAAAGAAAGTATAACCTGAAGTACTACGCCGGACATCAACACAACCTGCCCAATCACTGTCAGAGTACCCAAATAAATTAAATTGGTCATTTTTGGCATATAAAATGCCAAAAGAGATTGTCCATTTCAAGTCTCTTAGAATCCTCCTCGTTGCTCCATAATGTGTTTTGCTTGGACTCTGCATAAAATGAGATAGCACATTAGTGGCAAAAGCAATATCAGGCCTGCTGTTTGTGAGATAAAGAAGACTCCTAATAAGGATACGATAGGTAGGAACATCAACCTTTTCTTCTCCATCATTCAAACTAAACTTCTCATTAGAAACCATTGGAGTGCTCATTGAGTTGTAGTCTTCCAACCTGTACTTCTTAAAAAGATATTTAGCATATTTCTCTTGGGAAATAAAAATTCCCTCGTCGTGCTGAACCACTTCCAGCCCCAAAAAATATCTCATTAAACCCAAGTCAGTCATGTCAAACTCATTAACCATCATTCTTCTAAATTCTTTCAACAAAAAAAAGCTATTGCTAGTGTATAGTAAATCATCAACATAAAGACACACTAATAGTACCTCATCTCACCTCTAGTCCGAACATACAAAGTAGGCTCACTTGGATTTTTATGAAACCCATGGCCACAAAAATGAGCATTAATTCTTTCATACCAAGCCCATGGTGCTTGCTTCAGACCATAGAGTGCTTTCTTCAACTTGTACACTTTCTACTCCTGTCTTTCAATTTCATAACCCTGGGGTTGCTGTACATACACATCTTCCTCCAAGAATCCATTCAAAAAGGCTGACTTCACATTAAATTGAAAAACAGACCATTTATATTGAGCAGTTAAAGCTAAAACAGTTCGAATAGTATCAAACCTAGCAACTAGTGCAAAAGTCTCATCAAAATCCACACCTTCTTGCTGCATGTAACCTCTAGCAACAAATCTAACCTTGTGTTTATGAATTGACCCATCAGAATTGTACTTGGTCTTGTATACCCACTTTAGACTTACAACTTTGTTGTCTTTAGGCAAGTCCACAAGTTCCCATGTTTGATTTCTTTCCAAGGCCTTTATTTCTTCATCCATAGCTTTGCACCATTTTCTGTTCTGCGTTGCTTCCTCAAAACAACTAGGCTCCTCCACATGTGCCATTTGACACCTTTGAGTTTGTTCATAGAGTTCCACCAAGGATTTTACTTTCCTTGCCTCCCTTGGGGGTGGAGGTGTCTCAGGTGAGGATGGACACGATCTGCTGCCATTGTTAGGTGTAGAGGAAATTTGACCTTCACCCATTTCACCTTCAGTCATGACTGGATCATCCTCCAAAATGCCATCAACCACCACAGAACCTGGACTTTTCTTTTCATTCCAATTCCATGAATTTTTCTCATCAAAAATCACATCACAACTGATTAGTAACTTCTTGGTGATAGGATCAGAAAATCTATAACCTTTAGTTTCATCACTATAACCAAGAAAAATGCACTTCACACTGTTTTCCTCAAATTTTGTCCTTTTTTGAGATGGAACATGAACATAAGCTAGACACCCAAAAACTTTAAAGTGAGTTACCTTGGGCTTCCAGCCATGCCAAGCTTTGAAAGGAGTTTGATGATGCAAAGCTGCTGTGAGACTACGATTCTGAATATAAGCTGTAGTGTTGATTGCTTCTGCCTAAAAACTGTTTGAAAGACCTTTAGCTTTCAGCATGCTTTTTGCCATCTCCACAAGGCTTCTATTTTTCCTTTTGGCTACCCCATTTTGTTGAGGGATATAGCTTGCTGTCAACTGCCTTTTGATGCCGAAATCTTCACAAAATTTGTTAAATTTAGTTGAAACAAATTCCCCACCTTGATCTGTCTGCAGAACTTTGATTGAACATCCACTTGTTTTTTAACAAGTGCTTTGAATTTTTTAAAGATTGGGAAGGCATCTGACTTTTCTTTGGCAAAGTAAACCCATGTCAGTCTACTAAAATCATCAACAAAGACAATAAAATAGCTGCTTTTGTTGAGAGACAAAGCATTCATTGGCCCACAAACATCTACATGTATCAACTCAGCAGGTTTCAAAGCTCTTCTCGCCTTTCCTTTGGGAAAAGCATCTAGATGCTGTTTGCCATAAACATAGCTTTCACACACACGATCAACTTGTTTAATGATAGGCAAACCATGCACTAAATTCTGTTTTGACAAAAGTACCAACCCTTGGAAATTCAAGTGCCCGTATCTATGATGCCACACGAGTTGTCATCATGCAAAGTGACATCCAATGCAAACTCAGAATCAAGAGTTAAAGGAAAACACTTGTTTTTTTGCCATTGGAACTTTAATTAAAAGCTCCTTTTCAATTCCATCTTTGTAAACATAGCAAGCCATATTTTCAAAAACAAGTGAATTTCCAGCCATCATAAACTGACCCACACTTAGCAAATTAGAATCCAAATGAGGTATGAACAAAACATCATCAATACAATTCTTGCCATATTCATCCAATTTAACTATACCTTTTCCTTGTGCTTCTCGTATGGTACCATCACCCATGGTTATCTTTTTGCTCACTGACTTGTCCAGGTTGATGAAGAGATTAATGTTTCCTGTCATGTGATTACTGCAGCCACTGTCCACATACCAAACATCTGGAACACTTTCTTTAGCAGTGTAGCAAGCAAGAAATAAGCTTTCAGTTTCATCATCCTTTTCTTGTGCAAAATTGGCTTGCTTATCTTTAATTCTACAATCTTTAGCAATATGGCCATACCTCTTACAAACAAAGCATTGAATTGAACTCTGGTAGTCACTTCTTTCATTGGCTCTCTGTGGATGCCTAATGCTACCAAATCGACCTCCACGACCTCTTCTTCCACCTCGGATTGCACCTTGTCCTCTATTGAATCCACCTCTGTTACTAAACTTTGAAGAGCTCCCTCCATATTTGTTTTTGGGCAGCTGTAGCTTGTTGTAGAAAGCATTCTCCACAAGATCCTTGTACCTCTTCATTCTGTCTTCATGAGAAAAAAGAGAACCGAGTAGCTCATCTGTTGTTAACACAGCTAAATCCTTTGACTCTTCTATGGCAGCCACAATATGGTCATATTTCTTAGGCAAGCTCCTAACAATTTTTTCAACCACCTTTTGCTCGGGCACATCATCACCGTATTTTCTCATTTGATTGACAATTTCTATCCTTTGGGTAAAGAAATCAAATAAGTTCTCACATTCTTTCATGACCATACCTTCATACCTTCTACAAACTGTCTGTAACTTCACCGTAAGCACCTTGGCATTGCCTTGGTATCCTCTCTGCAAAGTGTCCCATGCATCTTTTGACTTTGTTGCTGCTGAGATGCGTGGAAAGATAGTATCATCCACTCCCTGCTGGATGAAAAACAATGCCTTAGCATCCTTCTTCTTTGTGTCCTTGAGTGCCTTTGCTGAGAGTGCAGCTTCTGTGTAACCCCTCTCTACCAAGTCCTATAAGTCTTGGGACATAAATAAAGTCTTCATTTTAGTACTCCAAATTTCATATCCACTTCCCTTAAAGAGTGGAATGGTTGGCTGCGAAACACTTCCCAAATTGTTGTTTGTGGCCATTTATTTTGAAGGCAATTGAAAAAGGAATCTTGCTCTAATACCAAATGATAAAAAAACAAGGGTTAGAGTAAATGATATTTCTAAGAGGCAAATAATCAAATACTTGGTGTGCAACAAAAAAGATGAAATTGAAGATGTTTATTCAACTGATCTTTGCCCATTTAAATAGAAAATGTAGAGCAACAGATTGCACAATATAAGGACACGATGACTAGACGATCTGGTAACAAGAAAGTACTCTTATCTCTAAAAACAAGGAATTGTATCTCCACTAAGTAACAAACTTGGACTCTGTCAACTATTAAACTAAAACTGCATATTATTTGGTAGACACGTAAACAATAAATTGACACATAAACAAAGAAATTGACACCTAAGCAAAGACCCATTTCAGCATTATATCATAACAAGAATGTCATAGAACGCAGCTTTGCTGAACCCATTCCTTGTATTCGGACACCACCCTCCAAATATGTAGACGAACTCGCCGATAACCATTGACCAGCAGGAGATACTCAAGGCAGCTATTGCTCCGTTGGCCCCCCAGTCAAGCCTATAAACGAAGATCCATGAGAGCAACAGATGAAGAAAGAAGGAGGCGGTGGAGAGCCAGCCAACGATCATGTTCTTCATCTGCGCTTGCAAGTACATTTGGATTGTCAGTCCGAAGACAAAATTGTAGAGAAAGGGTATGAACCAGAGCGAGATCGGCCCCGCCGCCACCGCTATCTCTTCCTCCTCAACGATTAGTCTCAGGATTGGCGTGGCAAATATGAAGAATGGAATCGTCAGTGCGGCAACTAATCCGTTAACAATCCATGACCTCTGCAAGTAGATTCCCATCATGTGGTAGTGTCCGGTGCCGAAAGCTTGGCCGCAGAGAGTTTCAGTGGCACTTGACATGCCAACCTAGTTAATTTCACACATTTAACCAATAAATCATCAGATTTTGGATTGATAGAGGACTAATATATAACGGATTGCGAAAAAACAGTCACTCTGCCACTGACAAGCGTATTCTTTACAGAAAAAGAAAAATCAAAATAGGGAAAATTCGTTCTTACGAGAATTCCATTGATGAAGCGAAGGAAAATGCTCTGGACGAAGGCGAAGGTAGCAAGTTCGACTTCACCAACATGACCGAGGAAGGATTGAGTGACAACGATGAGGCCGAAGTAGGTGACTTTGGAGATTATTCCGGAGGAGGGGATTCTCCAGATGATTTTTGATTCATTCAAGACCTTCGAAAACAAAGAGGCAAGAATTTGTCATTTGTTTTTAGGTAACGTGTTGCTTACATGACTGCTTATGTGATACCATGTAAATGATGGCACAGACTTCCGTTAACCTATTTATTAGAACTACGTTAAGTAAATAAAATTGATACAATTTTAAAAGTTAATAAATGAATTTGAAAGAAAATAAAGATTCTAGACTAAAACAAAAACAATGTCAATAGTTAAGTAATAATTTATCAAATTAAGCCCAATTTAGAACCCTTGCCATTTTAGTGAAGGGTTGTGTGAACGAGGGTGAGTTTGCAACTAGGTATTGGCGACTTGCTTGAAGCTTTTTTAGTGCCAGTGGACTTGTGCAACCAGGAGGCTTACGTTGGTGTGTGAATTGTTGGAATAGAGCAGGGATTTGGGGCTGGATTTACCCAGAGGTTTCTGGTTGGATTGGAAGGGGAGGTGATAGCAAGGCGGCTTGAAGGTAACCCAGCATAGGTTTTTGGTCGATGACAAGGGTTTGCTCTACGGAGCTTTTCTGGGGTGCTGGCTTGAGGTGGGTTCAATGTGGGGGGAAGCTTCACTAATTTCAGTTGGATGGTTTCAATGGAGAAGGATGGAGAAGGTGTCTGCAAAAATGTGATTTTTGTCATCGAATCTTAAGACACCTTTCCTTGCAAAGGGCATTGTTGCAATTGATTATTTGTATAATGTGACAGTGTTGTAACATGGAAGATGTTTTTGTGAGTGTTCAAGGTCCATGATGTGCTAAAATCAAGGGGTTTGATAGGGTGTGCTTGTTCAATTTTTTTCTGGATTGGAGGTTGTTACTGCAATTCAGAATGGTGGTGAGATGGGTTTTAGTGCCTGTTGTTGTATACTGTAATGGTGTCAGGTGAGCTATGATAATATAACTGATACTCAAGAGACAGGAGAAATAGCCAAAACCATATTCTAGTTTTATTTTTGCTATATCTCTTTCTAATAAATTAGTATTTAAACTACTTTGTACCTAAATTGAAATATCAGTAGTAACATATGAGAATTTCAGATGCTAGGGTGCTCTTGTGGCCCTAGAGATTCCTTGTAATAACTTTCCCTCTTTTATTAATACAAAGCCGTGGCCATTTTCATTTTTGGGAAAAATGGAAAAATAAACCCAATTCTACGGGAGAGATATTCAACATCAAGGATTCAAAGGAAACACATTGAGCCATGGTTGGTAACAGGTCCTAGCTTGAAAGCCCTACCTTCAATCTCTTTGCAAGACTAAAGTACTCGTGCTCAAAGCTAGCTAGGAAAACAAAGGCCCCACTCATGTTTTATTCCTAGTTCCGCCACTAAATTCAAGCTTGTAAAAGTAGACACCTCGAACTTTTATAATTTCCTTTATTTAACTTCACACTAACATAGAGAAGCAGAATCTTAGACCAAGTTCAATCCTCCTTTTTTTTTTTAAATTTAATTTATGGAAATAGCTCTAAGATGCTTTAGAAAAAATGTAGTTTAAAATACAATCTCAAAAGTGCAATTTGGTGAAAAAGGATCAAATTTCAAATACTGCAACACAAGAGAATATCCTTACCAATATTCCATTTGCGAATCGGACAGTGATGAACTGTATAAGGGCATAGGCTGCAAGCTCAACCTCACTGATGTGTCCGATGAACGCTTGAGTGACAACAAACATTCCAAAGCCCGATACTCGAGCTAACATGGCAGGAAATGCAACCCTCCATATCTTCTTTGATTCCTCTCATACTCTCACCCTCAAGTTCTCTTTTCTTTCAGGGAGAAGTCTCTCATCCATGTCCAATAGCTTTAAACTACGAAGAAAGAATGTTTTTTTCATAACCACGCAAAAGAAATGATGCAATTTCCACATTATAAGCAGAAAGTCAATCAAAAAATTGTACAGAAGGAGAACAAAACAAAGAAAAATGGTTGATAAAGATAGAGGAAGTTTTGCTTCGTGCTTGTTTGATTGGCAGTTATGGAAGAACCGACACCGGTGGTTGGAGCTAGTTCGGAAGTAGAGGATCACAAGATGAATCTAGAAAGAATTTGAAGAAGTTCGAGAAAGATGCAGTGATCCCACTACAGACATTACCATGCTGCTGAGATATAACATTTTTTTATACATGAACAACCATACAAAATGGAAGCGGAATGACAGTCAGAGGTCAAAAATGGAAATTCTATTATGACTTGTTGATGGTTGCTAAATGAACCGGGATACATGAAATCTTTGTCAAGGTGGACTGGCAGGTAGAGCAAGTAAAAAAATTCTTACGACTTCTGGATGGTTTTGAAAATGCTACAGTAGTAAAATTTTTGCAATAACAATGTTTCAATTCTTTGATTGTGGGTAATTTTGATATGGTATAAAATTTCTTCACATATTCCTAAATTCGAAGCCTGCTTTGTTTGATCTGAATTAAATGAACTTCACGTTTTGATTCGTTTAGTTTAGATAAGGGAACTGCAGATCTGCAACTCTGTTTATGGGGTTAGGCCATAACCAATGGACTTATTGGTCCCTGACATAACCAGTCTTTGGCAATCTCTACTTTTTAGTTAACTAGGCCCATTCTTGTTTTAAAAAGATCAAACCTCCTATTTGTCTTGTATATTATTTTTTTTTGTCAATGCCTCAAGAATTTTTACTCACAATCAAGGCTTCTTATAATTTAAAACTTGTAAAAAAACCCAAAAATTAATAATCAAACTTCTTATTTGCACTCTTATTTTGTTGATAATTTAAAACTTTTTAGGGGTTTAAAATTATAAAAAGTGTTAACTGGAAGTAAAACTTATAAATGGTGTTAACTGTGAAAAAAATAATGTGCAAGATACAAATAAGGAGTTTGACCTTTTAAATATAAGTTATCATTTGGGATTTAGATCAAAGAAATTTAGATTGAGAACAACTTTAAGTATAGCTGATGCCAATCCCTGATACCTGTAAGTATCTTAGGATACGTTTGGGGTAGATTTTCTTTAGTATTTTTCTAGACAACACTTTACAAAAGTATTAATTTATTATGATTAAATTAATTTTAATTGATATTTTATATAATTTAGTGGTTATATTAATATATAAGATTTGTTTAGAGTAATTATCAAATAATTACATAATTTTTTTATAATACAAAAACTATAATCACAACATTTTACAGCAATTTCAAGTACAATCTAATTTGTTGGGTAAGTATTTCAGTTGTATATAATAATAATAATACAATCAAATGATTATCAATTATTAATTACTTTTGAATAGTTAATCTGAAGGAGACATAAGATATAAATTATACTCATTTTTGCACTTCTATGGTTTGCGTTGATTGTAAGAAAAGAAATGATCCCCTGACCTTATCGTATTATGTACGAGTTTATTTATTGAACAATGATCATTCATATTAAAATAATAAACCGTTTTTATAGATGTACTAAGTTGAAGTGTGTGTTGGCAAAAATAAAAAATAAAAAAGTGTGTGTTTGGTTTAGTTAACTTTATTAATTTATAATTTTTTAAAATAATTAATTAAGATATTTAAAAATATTAATTTGTAAATTTATTTTAAATTGTATTAACTTTTTATTATATATTAACTAATAATTATAATATTTAGTTGATTCTAATAATCAAACCAAGTACAACCTCAGAACACCTTTCTGCACTCAAAATAATGTAACCCTTTTTTGGCTGAATTGAAAAAAAAAAAAACCAGTGAGAGATCAGTGATCTCTCAAAGATCAAATGTTTTACAGAGAACAACAAAGGTTAAGATCACTTAAAGAATGCTCATCAGCGCTTCAAATCTCTTAGGTTAAATGCTAAATTTAGTCCCTCAACTTTAGTGAGTTACACATTTTTGGTCCCTTTATAATTTTTTGGACTTTTTTTATCCCTAAACTTTAAGAAATACACTCCGTTAATCATTCTGTTAATTTCGATCGTTAACTCGCTCATGTGGCATTTTTTATAGTTTTTTTGATGACATGACAAAAACAAATTAAAAACGTGTTGGCATGGAATTTTTTTTCATGCCAACTCACATGATTAGTATTTATATTTTTTAAAAAATAAAATAAAATAATTCCATTCATCTTCTTCCTTTCTCTTTTTCTCTTTTTTTTCTTCCTCTTCTTTCTTCCTCAGGTCATCGAACCTAGTTTGCTGGGTTCAACGGAACCCTACTTGGGTTCCATCGAACCCAAATCTGTTGGGTTCGATGGAACCCAGGCTGAGTTCCGTCGAACTCAACTCAACTTTTTTTTTTGTTATATGTTTGTTTGCCAAGAAATTATCTAAATTGCAAGTTGTTGTGAGCGATTTTTGGAATATTTTTTTATATTTTTTAAGTATTATCTAAATGATTTCAATCTTGAAAATGGAAAGAACATCATCAATGGAAAGAATAGAAGTAGTAACCGATGGGCAAAGAAGCAATTGTTAGTGGTGATGTGGGACCCATTTGGACGGATTTGGCGCATTTTGGCCACGGTAGCATGACATGGCAAAAGTTTTGTGTATATCATCACTTTTTTAAATTTTGCTCTCCTCATCATCAAAAAAATATAAAAAATGCCACATAAGCAGAGTTAACGGCGCAAATTAACAGAAGGACTAATGGAGTGCATTTCGTATAGTTGAGGGATCAAAAAAGTGCAAAAATTTGTTGAGGGACCAAAAATGTGCATTTCGTAAAGTTGAGGAACCAAATTTAGCATTTAACCAATCTCTTATGACCCAAAAAAGGCTGTTAAAGCGTTTCTCCAGCCTCTTTATAAATCAATTAAGGGCTTAATTTAATAAATCATCTATTAATTATTATCTGTTTTTTTTATTTTCATCTAGATACTTTATTTTCTTTCAAGTTCATCTATTAACTTTCAAAACCATTTCATTTTCATCTACCCAACACAACACCGTTATCCATCCGTTAGCCACCGTTAACCACTGTTAACCACATTGACGGACATTGATGTTTCAAACTGCGTGGCGCCATGTAAGCTATTGTGTGGCGCCACGGAAGCAAACTATTGACCTAAAAAATGAGAGGGAAAATTTTGACTTATTAAGGTTAAATGTTTTAATATAAAAAAATAGTAATATAATGATAATTTTTTGTATAATTTTTTTATATAATTTTTATATATTATTGAATAAATAGATATACTCAATATTATATGTCTTAAATAAAAAATTAATTATTTAAATAATACATAAAATTATACTAAAAATAATAAAAAATATTTAAATTATTTTTATAAAAAAATTAATTATAATGTAAAAAATTAAAATCACTACTTAAACTTAACACAATAATTTAAATTAAAAAAATATATAAAGTTTCAACTAAACTAAACTTGTTTCTCACTTTTGTTATTCTCATTTTTTGTTCAGAGTGCTTAGGCTCTGAACACAACTTAGGGTTTTCTATAAATCACGAACAAGTCTACCATAGAGTATTTCAAGAATGAGATGGGTGCTGAGACCGCCGGACAGTGAGGATATGATGGTGTATAGTAAGATTTGTTACTAATTAAGTAGAGATTATAGATCTTCAAATTTTTGTTAATGGCATCAATTAAAGGTTTCTTCTTTAATTCCTTCTTGTCCACTTGTGCTCTTCTCTTGGTTTCTATAAAAGGTGTGAATATTTTTTTTAGTCTGACACTTGTGTTGTTGCAATCTTCTGTTAGAAAGTGAATGCATTTGAAAAGATTGCTTTCTTTATGCTTTTGTCTTGATAGAGTAATTGTAACTGGTATGAAAATGTGCTTGTGGTCCCGAGATGTTTCCCTAGCTTAAATTTGTTTTGCAAAAGCAAGTGGTTGACTAACTTCACTCTTTTTTTTTTATTATTACTAAGATTAATTTACTCCCTTTTAGACGAATCTTTTTGTCTATATCGAAGCATTGAACAAGAGTTTGAAATCATTTGATGATTACGTTTATTTGTTGGTTTCTGTGCTTAGATACTATGTGTTTGAGGTCAAGGACACTGTTAGATTCCCATCTTGATTTGCGTAAATAATTACCATTGACGAATTTCATTTTGATGACTCAGTTTGATGAAATTAATAACTTATTTTCTTTTTCATATTTAAATAGCCCATTCTTCACCATCAAAATGCATCATTTAGGGGAATTTATCTATATACCGAGGAAGGTTTATGTTGAAGGAGAGATTGATTACTTTGATTTATGTGAGGTTAATATGTTTTCTATTGTTGTGATAGATAAGATGGTAAAGGCTTTAGAGCATAGCAATAGCTACATCAAATACTATTGGTTGTTTCTTAGAGCTAATTTGGATAATGGATTGAAACCTTTGGAGAATGAGGGTAATGTACTTGAAATGGTCCTAAACATGTCCGGCCATGGTTGGAGGGACAAAAGGGAAAGGTCTCAAAATTGCTAGCACAAAGATTGCAATATATATGACAAGTTTCAACCAACAGTAGGAGCTAACAAATCATGATGAAATTGTTGAAGATATTGATGGGAGTGAAAATTTTTATCTAAACTCAGATGCACTTAGTAGCTCGGTAGATTCCGAAATGGAAGCATCTTTTTCTGCCCAAGTTCAGTGATTTCGAGAGGAAACTGACATTGAAAATCCAGCCTTCAAGATTGGTCAATTGTTTGCATCAAAAGAACAATTCAAACAAGCTGTTAAGACATACGACATTAACAATAAGAAGCTTGTGAAATTTGAGAGAGACAACAAGGATAGAGTTAATGTGCAGTGCATGGAACTGTGTCCATGGAAACTTCGTGCATCAAAGGTGTCTAACGGTGCAAAAGATCCAACATTTCAAGTGAAAATATATGTTGATAATCACACTTGCTGCACTAATTTGAAGAACCCCAAAATGACAGCAACTTGGCTTAGCCAAAAATATCTCCATCTTATCCAAGCTAATGCTAATCTTTCAATACCAGCATTTGAAGATATTGTGTACCAAGACTACACTATTATTGTGCCTAGAGTAACTTTATGGAGAACTAGGGAATTGGCAAAGATTAGATTGGCAGGTACAGATAAAGAGCAATACAAAATGATTGGGAGATATATCAAGGAGCTAGAGAAGGCAAATGAGAGGAACACAACAATATACAAGCTATTAGATAATGGAATGTTTGACAGCTTTTATGTTTGTTTAGCTCCATGCAAACAAGACTTTATCGCTGGTTGTAGACCAATAATGTGCTTGGATGGTTGTTGGTTAAAAGGCAGATATGGGGGTCAATTACTCACAGCCATTGGTATTGATGCTAATGATTGCATTTACCCCATTGCATGGGCCACAGTTGGTACAGAGTGCAAAGAAACATGGACATGGTTTTTACAAAATTTAAAAAAGGACTTGGGGATTGATGATGAAAATCATCATAATTATAGCATTATGTCTGATAAACAAAAGGTGAGATAACTAGAACATTTACTTAACAATTTATAGTTACGCTTAAAAAAAAAACATGTTATTAATGTTTTTATATATTTTTTAATTACAGGGACTAGTTTATGCTATTGAAGTTGAGTTTCCCATCTCTGAACATAGATTTTGTATTAGACACCTATATAATAATTTTAAGACATAACATAGGGGCAAGGGGTTGAAAGATGCTTTATGGAGTGCAGCAAGAGCCACTATAGTTGATGAATTTGAAAGGTGTATGCAAAAAATCAAGGAACTAGATGTCAATGCCTACAATTGGTTGGTGAGTAAGCCACCTCAACAGTGGTCCAAATCAAGGTTTGATACCTACCCCAAATGTGATAGTCTAGTGAATAACTTGTGTGAGTGCTTCAATAGAGTTATACTTGATGCAAGGGATAGGCATGTGTTGAGCATGAATGAGGAATTCAGATCTAAATTGATGAAAAGATTTTATAGAAGGAGGAAGTTAGGTGAGAAGTTTCCTGGTAAAGTGTGCCCTAGAATAGTGAAGAAGCTTATGGCAAACCAAAAGCTTTCCGGAAAATATTGGCCTGAACCTTCAACAGTTAAAAAATTCCAAGTTAGAAGCCCAAACCACCAATACATTGTTGACCTTGATGAGAGAAGATGCAGTTGTAGAAGGTGGGATTTGAATGGCATAGCTTGTGCACATGCAATAGCAGCTATATCTCATAATAATGAAGATCTAGAAGCTTATATTGCACATTGGTATTCTATTGAGATGTTTGTAAGATCATATGCTTGTGAAATTGATTGCATCAATGGTCAGGACATGCGGCCAAAAAGTTCCTTGCTTCCATAGCCTCCACCATTAAAGAAGACTACTGCTGGCAGACCAAAAAAGAAGAGACGAATGGATGCAGATGAAGCTACATCTACCAAGGCAACCAAATCAACCAAGTTGAAAGAGACCGGAGTTAAAATGTCATGCAGGAGGTGAGGGCATAAAGATCATAATATAAGGACATGTAAAACATGGGGTGTGCACTTGAAGCCTTACCAGAGAAAAAGAAAAAGAAGGCTGTTGATGGGGTTGCACCAAGTGGGGAACCACTAGAAAATGTGAGTACTTGAATTATTTAAATTATTATGGTTCAATGAAGATTGTGGCATTTAAATTTATTTTATTAAGATAATATTTTATAACTAAATTGTTTGTTGCAGGTCGGTAAAATTATAAATGAAGTGGGAAGTAGTGAGAGATCTAATATCACCGCAATTAATCAAGTGACAAATGCATGAAACAAAGTTAATTCATTTCTTTTAGTCTAGCTAGTGTTGTATGTTGTCTATTAGCTTCTAACTAGGATCTAATTTTGTGGCTACATGATAAAGGGCATATCAAGTGTGATCAACGGCTAAGATGAAGCGATTGGCACTCAACACAGTCAAAGAGGATCCGTTCAAGTTCCAAATGGAAGAGGTGCCTAAAGACTTAACAACTCATTAGTGCTATTAATTAAGGTAGTTTTTAGTTCCTGGTAGTTTTTTGTGGACAAAATTTATAACTACATGGATGATGGCTTTATACGGTGAAAATTTTTGTTTAAATTGTTTTTGGATGTATTGGACAAGTCTAAGCTCAGACTTATTATTGTAAATCATTTGATATATGAATAACTAGGCTTTTGTTGCTTTTTTTCTTTTTTGAACAACAAATAATATTTATTAATAAACAGAGTACAAGGAGTACCCCAAACCAATAAACATCATAATTTGAAAAGTATCATATTACATGAGTGAAATAGCCCTTTTGTATGATATCGACGCTTGAATTATGTGTCAACACTACATCCGTGTCGGAGTTTTGGATGCTTATCATATGGTGTCAACACCAAAATTATATGTCGACACTATACCCATGTCGGATTTCTGTCCTCTTTTTGTTGCTTTTATTTCAATAATCATTTGCCTCAATTGCAAGATAATCTAAGCCAAAATATTTGGCAGCTTGATCTAACTATTTCATGCACTTGTTTTAGTATTATATTATTTTTTTAAAAGTTATTTTAACATGTATTTTAAAAATACAAATTAAGAGTATATTTATTTTACTTTTTTTAATAATTTGTATGAA